CGCGGACACGCCGCCGGCGGGCCGCGAGGTGGGAGGCCGGGCTTCCTGCGCTTGGCGTGCACCGAGGACTCGAAGACGTAGCGGAGCGGGTCCCGGCGCGCCTGCCGCCGGCCGCGCCGCGCAAGAGCGAGTCGCTCTTCGCCGTCGTCGAGGTGCCCGCCGCGGACCACGCCGCCGGCGGGCCGCGAGGTGGGAGGCCGGGCTTCCATGCGCTTGGCGTGCACCGAGGACTCGAAGACGTAGCGGAGCGGGTCCCGGCGCGCCGGCCGCCGGCCGCGCCGCGCAAGAGCGAGTCGCTCTTCGCCGTCGTCGAGGTGCCCGCCGCGGACCACGCCGCCGGCGGGCCGCGAGGTGGGAGGCCGGGCTTCCATGCGCTTGGCGTGCACCGAGGACTCGAAGACGTAGCGGAGCGGGTCCCGGCGCGCCGGCCGCCGGCCGCGCCGCGCAAGAGCGAGTCGCTCTTCGCCGTCGTCGAGGTGCCCGCCGCGGACCACGCCGCCGGCGGGCCGCGAGGTGGGAGGCCGGGCTTCCATGCGCTTGGCGTGCACCGAGGACTCGAAGACGTAGCGGAGCGGGTCCCGGCGCGCCGGCCGCCGGCCGCGCCGCGCAAGAGCGAGTCGCTCTTCGCCGTCGTCGAGGTGCCCGACGCGGACCACGCCGCCGGCGGGCCACCGCCGCCCCCCGGGGCGACGACGACCGCGCTTCGGGGGGTGACGCCTCCCCCCGGGGGCGGACGGGCGCGATCGCGGTCGTGGGGAACGTTTTTTTTTGGGATGGCGTGGGCGGAGCGAAAAGGGGTCGTAAAAAGCGGGGCTTTTGGGGGGGGGGGGACTTGTTGGGACGCCGGGAGGCTACGAGAGAGGTACGAGGTGTGAGTATGACGCGTGCGAGTGTGCGGTGAGCGTGGAAGGTCAAACAGATGGCCAGACGTTGAACGAAATCTCGCTGACGCTCGCTGCAACAAGGGCAACAAGGGCAACAAGGGCACGGCCGGGGGTGCTCGCCGCGGCCGGTCGCGGTCGACGCAGCCGCCTACGCCGTTCTCGCGCGACCAGGGCGTCGTCGACGACGCCGAGACGCGCCCTCGCCGGCGCCACGGCGCCGGCGCTTCGACGGCAAAGAGCGCGCCGAGGGCGACGCGGACCGCGCGGGGCCGGCAATCGGATAACATCTGTCTGAATGTCAAAGAATGTATTGGAGAAGTACTTACAGGGGTCACTTCGGTTTATAACAATTCATGACTAAGAAAAGGTCAACATCACATCACACTTCAAGTCAACTTCAACTCACATTCAACTCAACATCACATCACACTTCAAGTCAACTTCAACTCACATTCAATTCAACATCACATCACACTTCAAGTCAACTTCAATTTAACAAATGCTTATAACGGATTCTCGACGGACCGCGTATGATCGCCGGCGACGCCGCCCGCGCCGAGCGTCGCCACGAGCGCGGCGACGCGGCCATTTCGTCTTGCTCGTCGTCGACATCCGGGGCAGCCATCACATGATGGCCGCGCACGCGACGGGCCGGGGCCTCGTGCGCCGCTTCGAGGCGGCGGACGAGGCCGGCACTGCAACTTCAACAAAAAAAGGCATGTTGCCATGCAAGCCTGGACCGATCGAGCTGGTGATGTGGCGCCGGTCCCGACCCGCGATGCTGCTGTGCTGCCTCTTGCTAGTGACCAATGTGCGCGCGTTGGCGCCGGCACCGGACGTCGAATCGCGCGTCATCGCGAGCATAAAAAACGTCGCCAGCGAGCGGAGCCTCGGCGCGCTTGGCGAGTTCGGCGCTGCCACCGGCGACCTGTTCGTGTCAAAGCTCACGCCCGAGACGGTGGAGGACGTGACACGATTTTGGCAGGACGGCGCCGCCGCCACGGCCCGCGACGCGACGCGCGTCCAGCGCTGGCGCTTGCGCGAGGCGCGCGCGGCCGGCGGGTTCGCGGTGCTCGCGGCCGCGACGTTCCCCTGGACGCCCCTCCTCCTGCCGCTCATCGACGAAGCGCTGGAGGACACGGCGCAGGACACCTACGTGCCATCGTCCTTCTCGGCGGCGCGGCGCGGCGCGATGCGCCGGCTCGCGGGCGGCAGCGAATTCCGCGCGGACGAGGGCACTCCCCGCGACGCGGAGGAGAGCGTCAAGTTCTTCCGCGACGGCGCGTCGCTCGCCGCGCGCGACATCCGGCGCGGCACGCTGATCTCCGAAGAGGACTCGTGGGCTGTGTGGGGGCGGTTCCTGGCGCTCGCGTTCTCCACGTTCCCGCTCACGCCCTTGCTCCTCCCGAGCATCGACGAGCGGAGGGACGGTCCGCGGAGCGACTACGTCCCTTCTCCCTTCCGCGGGCGCCTCCGCGCCGTCGAACGCCTGCGCCTGCGAGACGCCGCGCGCTACGGCGACCCCATCGCGACGCTGCGCCGCGTCGCCGGCGAGGACCGCCCGCCGCCGGGGAGGGTCCTCGAAGCGATCGTCGCCGCGCAGCGGCTCCGGGCCGGGCCTTCACCTGACGCCATGCTCGAGGCCCTCGGCGGCGGCGGCGCGCCGGGAAATCGCTGGCAGCTGGCGTACGTCGCCGACAAGGCCGCCGTCGTCGCGGCGCGAAAGGGCGAGAACCCCTGGTGGCGGCGGCTCGCGCCGTGGGCCGACGGCGCGTACGTGGACTCCTTCGTCTCCGCGATTCAGCGCTTCGACAACGAGAACCTCGACAACGAAAACGGAGTGTTTTCGTTGCTCGGGAGCGATGTTTTTCAGACGACGGTCCGCGGCCCGTTCCGCTGGAGCAAGCGCGCGATTTGCGCCTTCCGTCCCGACGTCGCGACGTTCAAGGTCGGCCCCTTCGAGACGGCGCAGGACCTCGAGGACCCCGTGCCCTTCGACGACGTCCCCTTCCGCGACCTGCCCTTCTTCAAGTTCGTGCTCATCGACGACGCCGTCGCCGTGGCCCAGGGCCGCTCGGGGAGCGTCGCGCTCTGGACCCGGGTCCCGCGCGAGGCGGCGGCATAAGCACCTGGTACCACACGGGAGTTTTACTCGAACGGGCGCCCGCGCAACCCAGCGGACTCATCGGCCCGTGTTCGTCATGGTCGCGAGGCTCAGCTTGGGGTCGTTCGTCGACGGCCCGCCCTTCTTGGCGACGCCGGTCCAGTTCGACTTGTCGTCGTAGAATTTCGACGAGCCGCGCGTGCCCTGGACGACGACCTTGGCGTTGCGGAGGATGTAGTCGTCGAGGACCTCGCGCGACGTGCCCTTCGTCGCCGCGATCTCGTCGAGCATGAGCTGGAAGACCTCGAACTTGACCTTCTTCTCCTTCTTCGCGCAGCGCGTCCAGATGAGGTCGATGCCGGCCTTGACGAACTTGGCGTCGTTGAGCTTCGTGTCGCGGCAGAACTTGACGAACGCGAGGTTCGTCATCGTCGTCTGCCGCCAGTAGCCGCAGAACATGTCGTAGACGGCCTGGAGCGTCTTCGGCCGCGGCGCGGCCTCCTCCTCGGCACCCGGCGCGCGCCAGGACACGGCCGACGCCGACGCGGAGCCCCGGAGCGGCGCGGGCTTCGCCGCCGACGGCAGCGCGACGGTGACCGCGCGCGCGGCCGAGAAGTCGATGGCGCTCGTCTTCGTCGCCTTGAAGTGGGGGCTCGCGCCGCCGCCGGGCAGCAGCAGCACCTTCTGGAGGTCCCGGAGCCGGCCCGCGTGCGCGCGGAGCTCCTTGACCTTCTCGTCCAGGAGCACGGCCTCGTAGCGCGCCTCGTCGCCGCCGAAGGCCTCGAGCTCGTCCTTCTGCGCCGCCAGGGCGCCGAGCTTGCCGTCGATCTTCGACAGCGCCGCCTCGAGGCGGCTCCGCCGCGACTCGACGCCGTCGCGCTTCGGCACGCGCAGGCGCGACAGCAGCTCGGCGCCGGAGGTGACGCCCGCGGCCTCGAGGAAGGAGGCGAGCTCGAAGGAACCCAGGGCGCAGAGCTGCTGCGCGACCTCGCTCGCGTTCTGGGCCCGGTCCAACCGGTCGGCGGCGTCCATGGCGGGCAGCCCAGCGCGCGAGCAACGAGCAGCGCACAAACGTTTTAGGCTGATCGTGCCGAAGTATCGCCGATACTATCGGCAGCTTTCTTTTCTTGCCGTCGACGATCGTGATCGTCGATGCGATGCTTATGAGGGGCTGTGGCTAGAGTTCCGACGCGATGTTCCTGCCGCTGCGCACGCGGCTGCTCCTGACCCTCCTCCTGGGCCTCGCCGTCGTCTGGCTGCGGACGGCGTCGACGCGGCGGCCGGCGCCGACGCCGAAGCCGCGCGCGACGGCCGCGGCGCCGGCGCCGAAGCCGAAGCCGAGGCCGCCGCGCGTCGAGGACGTGCTCGAGGCGGCGAGCGCCCAGGTGCGGCAGCGGCGGCGCAACTCGAGCAAGGCGCCGGCGGCGGCGCTCGAGCTCGAGCCGCCGCCCGTCGAGCCGCGGCGCGCGGCGCGCGGCGCGCCGGCGGCGCGCGGCGCCGCGTGCGCGCCGACGTCGGCGGACGTGGGCGTCATCCTCTTCGCCGTCGGCGCCAAGGCCCAGAGCAAGGCGGCCAAGGCCGCGCGCACGGTCTGGGAGACGACGCCGCCGAACGTGCAGACGCTGCTGCTAACGGACGAGGCGGGCGTCGCCGTCGCGCGGACCTGGAGCCGCGAGCGCTTCGGCCCCCTCGCGGCGGCGCGCCGGCATGCCCGCGGCGACGACGAAGCGGCGCCGGCCTGGGCCGTGCTGCGCGCGGCGCCCTTCGACGCCGTCGTGTCCGTCGGGAACGCGTCCGAGGGTCTGGCCTTCGCGGACATGCCCCAGTTCCAGGCCTTCCGGGCCTTCGAGGTCACGTCCGTCGACGGCGTCAAGAAGGACGTGCTGCGCAAGGACCGGCCCGAGTGGACGAACCGCGAGGACGCGACGAACCGCGCGCTCCGGGCGCTGCGGCTCGCGAAGATCCGGAGCCTGGTGCGCGGCGCGCGGCTCTTCGCGTACACGCTCTTTCTGGACGTGGACACGATCGTCTGTAGAGATTTACGAGCCGCGTTGTGCGCCGTCGGCGGCGACGGCGCCCACGTGGCCTTCGTGCCCGTGACGAACAACCGGACGCACGGCGACGCCGTCGTCCGCGCCGCGCTCGGCGTCGCGAACGGCGAGCTGCTGCCCGCGGAGGCGAACACGGGCGTGCTCGCGCTGGCGGACTCGCCGACGACGCGCTGGCTCCTCAAGGCCTGGGAGGCGGCCTACGTGAAGCTGAGCGAGCTGGGCCAGCTCATGGACCAGCCCGCGTTCCGGGCCGCGCTGCACCTCACGCGGGACCGCCTGCGCTTCGTCCACCTCGACGCGGCCTACAACTGCCGGGGCCGGGACACGGCGCGCAAGAACAGCGTGCGCATCTCCTGCGACGGCTACCACGACTACGAGAACTACCTCCAGAAGTCGCTCGAGGGCGGCAAGGGCTGCGTCGTGCTCCACTCGCACGACGCGTCGTCGCTCCGCGCGACGTGGCCCAACGCGCTGCCCAACTACTACGTCGAGTCGTCCGTGCCCTACGGCACGCTCCGCGAGGCCACGGGGCCCGGCGACTCCATCGCGAGGACCGCGCTCGCGCGCCGCGCGGCCGCGGCGGGCAACGCGTCCGCGGCGCGCCGCTGGCCCTGGGCGACGGCGACGAGCGCCGCGGCGCAGAAGACGCGCGCGCACCACGCCCTCGTGCTGCCGGACATGAGCCTCGAGAGCACCGCGCGGCTCATGGTCACGCGGTTCTACCGGCTGCTCGTCGGCGACGACGCGCCGGGCGTCGCCTGCGGCCGGCGGACCTGCACCTTCCGCGGCAACGCGACGGCCCTCGACGGCGACGACCGCCGGGGCCGCGCGGACGTCAAGGCCGCCGTGGGGCGCGCGCAGGACGTCGCGCGGAAGCTCGACGGCGGCGGCCGCTACGCGTGGGAGCTCGGCCTCCGCGCGGGCGGCGCGGCCGCGGACCGCACGCGCACGCCGCCCGGCGGGGCGCCGCCCGTGCCGGCGCCCCTGCTGGGGCCCCTGGCCTTCGGGGCCTGCGGCCTCCGCGGCGGCGGCTTCGGCATCCACGCGCGGCCGTGCGCGTACTTCGTCTTCATCCGCAACCCCGTGGACCGCATGATCTCGGAGTGGTACTCCTGCCGCGGCGGCTACTTCGACGAGAAGAAGCGGCCGAAGCAGCGCTACGAGCTCGACGCGTCGCGCGAGGAGTGCGTGTCGCCGCTCGGCGCGGACGCGATGCGCGGCATGAGCCTCGCGGCCTGGGCCGAGGCCAAGGGCAACGTCCAGCTCCAGCAGCTCGTGCCCCTGAGCGCGTTGGACTTCGACTACGACGCGGACCCCGCGGGGGGCGCGCCGAGCCCCATCGCCGCGCGGCTCGCGCGCGAGGGCGCGCCGAACGAGGCGGACGCGCGCGTCTTCATCGACCGGTCCCGCGACTGGTTCGCCGTCGTCGCGACGTCGGGCAAGGTCGGCGACTCCATGCGGCTGCTGCTCCACGCCATCACGGGCGTCGCCGCGCCCGTCGCGTGGATCGAGGACACGTTCCTCCTCCGGCCGCCGTCGACCAAGGGCGGCTCCGCGGCGCCCAAGTGCCCCAAGGGCTTCCGCAAGGTGAACCGCTTCAACGACCGGCCCGTCGAGGCCTGCGCGCCCGAGTCCCTCGTGCCGAGGCCCCGGCCCAAGCAGGACGACGACACCATGGAGACGGTCCGCGCGGCCGTCGGCCTCGACATGCTCCTCTTCATGTACGCCCAGGTCCTCTTCAAGGTCCAGGTCGCCGTCGTCGACGCCGTCGCGGAGCAGCAGGCCAAGGAGCGGGCGTAAATTTAACAGGGTGGGGTTTCCCGGGGAGGGTAGGGGTCCGACTACGCGTCTTGATTCATTGCAGTATGTACACATACGTGTCTAGGGCAGCGCACCCTTAGTCTTCCTGGATGGCGTCGGCGAAGGCGCGCGCCTTCGAGTTGAGGGACGAGGCCGCGCGGCCGATGAGTTCGGCGAGCTGGACGGGCGTGAGGCGCTCGACGTCGATGGGCGCCGGGACCGCGGCCGCGCCGTCGGCCAGCGCCTCCGCCGCTTCGAACACGCCGACGGCGGCGACGGAGATGGCCTCCGACCCGTCGATGATCGCGGCGATTTCCACGGGGATGGTCGCCTCGGCGGAGTCGACGGCCGGCGGCAACTCCCACACGTCTTGAACTTCCTCGTCGGTATCCTCGCAGCCCGCGGCCCACGCGTCGCAGCATTCCGGGCAGTCCCAGTGCTTGTCTCCATGCTTGCAGTATTTCCAGCCGTTTTCCGCCATGTGTTGTTCATGATTCCTCAGCTCGATCTCGTCCGTGACGGCTTGAAATTTCGCGATGACGACCTTGCGTTTGGACTGGTCTTCCCAGCCGGCCGTCATCTCGCGCGCGTGCGACGCGTAAATAAACCAGTCGTCAAAGCCCTCGTTAATTGCGGCGTAGAGAGCGTCGAAGGCACGGCTCGGAGAATCCCAGCTTTCGACGGCCCGCCAGAGGCGTAATTCCTGTTGCTCGAATGTCTCGTTCAAGTCGCGTGGATCCACTTTTTCGATCCAATTCCAGAACGCCCACTCAAAGAAGATCTGATAAATATCGCTATGCTCCATCGCGGCCACGATGCGCTCGAAGCCATCCAGAGTGGGTTCAAATATTTCGAGGAAATTGACAGTCAGCGCAGTCACGATATTATATTCCCCATCTAAATCGGCCCGAGCAACCGCGTCGACGACGATCGACGCCTCCAACGACCACGCCGCGCGAAGATTCGCCTTGTCACCCTCGGTGAGGGAGGCAGAGGCAGACTCGCGGTCGTCACTCGTAGTCGAGTGAGGTAGGGCGCGCAGGCGGCTCACGAGCGCGAGACTCCGCGCCACCGGCTCGTAGCGCCCTTTGGTGAGGACGAGGCGCGCCGCACTGCGAAACTGCTTGGACACACACTTCATGCGGACCACGGCTTCAAACGGCAGAAACTCGAAAGCGACGGTCCACGTCGCCATGAGCGATTTGGTCGGAGAGGCCGTGATGTTCGTGGCGCTCTCTGGGGTTTGATCCTTCGGCTTCGGTGGGAAGTAGCTCCGGATGTCACCACCGTGCTTCGGCGCGGACTGGCTCATCTGGACTCGCGGCTCGAGCAACCGCCGAGCTGCTCAAAAACTTGGGGGCCCCCCTTGTCTGTGGCGAAACTGTGGCGACGTCGCGACAACCGATCACACGACTCGCTCCCAGGACGCCTCCAAGGTGCGCACGCCCCGCTTCCTGCGATGGACGTTGACGCCCCCCCGCCCCGAGAAAGAGGAGCCGGTACACGACGCGCGCCTATTGGAAGTTGAACCAGCCCGTGGTGATCATCTTCTCCTCCGTGGGGCTCGCGACGCCGCGGTGCGTGAAGGTCCAGTCCGAGGGCCAGATGAGCGTGAGGCCCTTCTTCGGCTGGACGATGAGGTCCTGGTGGAAGAACTCCGTGCCGCCCGCGTCGTGGACGTCGTTGAGGTACGTCATGAAGACGAGGTGCCGCGACCCCTCCGGTTCGCCCTTGCCCGTGCGCTCCGTGTGGTAGGTCTTGTAGCCGCCGCTCGGCGGGTAGAGCTGGATGTTCGTCCGGCTCGTCAGGGACCAGGGGCCGTAGGCGCCCGCGTAGGGGTAGTCCTCGACGTACATGGCCGCGCACTGCTTCAGCGCGAGGAGGTAGCGCCGCCAGGCGACGGACGGGTCGTTGGGGGGCACGCTCATCTCCAGCGAGTCCTTGACGCTCGTGTCGACGACGGGCGCGCCGCCGCTCGCGCTGCTCACCTGGCCCCGGAGCTGCGGCCGCGATCGGAACAGCTCGACGACGCCGTCGACGACGTCCTCGTCCGCCATGAGGAAGCTCCCGACGAACTGGGGCGCCGGCGCGCCGTCGGCGACGATGGACGTGCGCTCGACGGCGACGTCGCCCATGCCCGCGGGCAGCGGCGGCGGCGGCGCGGCGGCCTTGGGCTTCTTCTCCTTCTTCGGCTTCGCCTTCGTCGCGAAGCCGCCGCCCTTGGCCAGGCCGTGCGCCGGCGCGGCGAGCGCCGCGAGCAACAGAAGAGCACGTCGCAGCATCGCTGGGACGGACACTGCTGGGGACGACCGGCGGGTGCCTGGGACGGGCCAAAATGATGGCCCAGACCCTCAACCTGAGCACGACACTGTGGCAACATGCGAGAACATTGACCTCAATCCGACGCCCTACGCGCGCCGAACAACCTCTCTTACGCCCGCCCAAACAAACTCACGCGCCGCGCACCGACGCCGCCGCGGGCCGCGCGAAGGCTCCGAGCGCGGCGTCGAAGAGGCGCGAGGCGCCGGCGAGCGCGGCGTCGTCGTCCCAGGGCAGCGCGGCGAGGTCCGGGTGGCGCGTCGCCTCGCCGCCGGACAGGGTCGCGAGCGTCGTCGGCCCCTCCGGCGGCGGGCCGCCGGGCGGCGCGCCGACGGCCGCCGACGCCGAAGCGGCCGTCGCCGCCGCGAAGAGGCCGACGAGGCTCGCGTCGACCTTGCCGTCGACGGCCTTGACCTCGGCCGATAGGCCCGCGCCCCGGAGCACGTCCGCGCCACCGCAGCGGAGCGTCGCCGCGTTCGCCCGCGCCTGGAGCGCCGACGCGCGCCGCTCCGGCGGGGGCGCGTAGGCCGCCGCGGCCGCCGCGACCGCGGCCGCGGCCGCGCCGAGGGCCGCGGCGTCGTCGCACTCGACGTCGACGCCGTCGGCGGCCGCGCGGCTCCGGGCGACGGCGCCGCCCGCGAGCGTCTGCGTCTCGAGCACGAGCCCGCGCGCGGCCGCGACGGGCGCGCCGCCGACGGACGCCGCGGCCTTGGCCGCGGCGATTTGGCCCGCGCCGTCGCGGCGCGCGTCGACGCCGCAGTCGTCCAAATCGACGACCAGGCCGCCCGGCGCCTCGAGGGTCAGCCGCGCGAGCGAGAGGACGACGTCGAGCCCCGGCGGCGCGCCGACGTCGGGCCACCGGACCGTCGCGGCGCCGCAGCGGCACTCCGCGGCGCGCGGCGCCTTGGACGACGCGCGAAAGGCGAACCCCGGCCGGTCGCCGCGCTCCCGGAAGGCCCAGGACCCGTCGCCCGCCGCGGCCTCGAGCGCGACCAAATCGAGCTCCGCGGGGCCCGCCGTCGACGACCGCCGCGCCGTCGCCGTCGCCATGTCCGCGGTCGCGCCGCCCGCGTCGAGGCGCTCGACGCGCAGCGTCGCGTCGTAGGACGGGCAGGGCAGCGGGTCCGCGTCCCAGAGGCGGTCGAGCAGACCCAGCGGCGCCGCGGCCGCGAGGCGGTCGCCGGAGACCGTGACGTCGAGCCGGAAGCACGGGCCGCCGTCGACGATCGGCTGGGCCCCCGCGTTCGGGTGGATCCACCCCGCGGGCGTCTCCGGCCGCCGCGCCGTCGAGTCCGACATGTCGTCGCCGGGCAGCCGCCCCGCGTGGCCCCGCGCCTTCGCGAGCGCCCAGCCCGGGGCCTTGAGCCAAGACGCGCGCGCCGTGAGGCCGACGTCGAGGTTCTCGTCGCCGCGGCCCGTGCGGATCGACGGCGCGGCGACCTCGAGCTTCCACCGGGGCCAGACGTCGTCGGAGAGCGCCATGATCTCGACGCCGCCGTCGCAGGAGACGTCTTCCGTCAAAGCGCCCCAGCTCCCGTCGACGCGGACGGCGAGCCTCCCGGCCTTGAAGACGCCGTAGCCGTCGTCCCGCGAGAAGCGGTCCGACACGGCGACGGCCGTCGCGAGGCCCGCCGCGGAGCACACGACGCCGGCGTCGCCGCACGTCGCGACGACCTCGGGCTTGGCCATGCCGCGGACCGTCGCGTCCAGCGCCGCGCGCTCCGCGACGGTCTCCGCGGACCGGTACGCGCAGTCGAAGTCGCGGACCTCGCAGTAGTGGTGCCCGCCGTCGAGGCTCCCGACGCAGGCGACGTCGAGCGTCACGCGCGCGTCCTCCTCGCGGGCCTCGACGGCGACGCCGCGGCAGCGCACGGCGCAGGCGTCGGGCCCGTCGCCGACGGCGACGCGCGCGCCGCCGCAGGCCACCTCCAGCCGCGGCGCGCCGGCGCCCCGGCCGTCGCGGGAGAAGCGCTCGAGCGTCGCCCAGCCGCACGCGCCCTCGACGTCGCCGTCGACGGCGACCTTGACGGACGCCGGCACGCGGAAGAAGAAGGACGCGTAGCTCACGGTGATGGCGCAGGCATCGCAGGACGCCGTGTCGCGGCCCGTCCGCGACGTCCACCGCACCTTCGTGGCCGCGAGCTCCACGGTCCTGTTTTCCCATTTCACGACGCGCAGCGTCTCCGCCTCGAGCGCGCAGCCCCAGGCGGCCGCGAGGCCGCGGAGGAAGGTGCGCTCGAGCCACGGCGGAAGCATGGACGCTTCCGGCTTCGGCGCAGCCTCGGGCTCGGGCTTTGTCACGGCTTCCAGCGCACCCTCCATGTTCACGCGATTATGTGGGCTGCAACCACAGCTCGTTTACGTTTGCATAACTCCTCGCTCCACCACAGCCTCGCTCCACCACAGCGCCTGGATTCGACAACCGACGCCTGGTGGCTGTGCATTAGGAGAAGAGCGCGGCGCGCCGACGGGGCACCTCCACGCGACGGTACCATGGAGCAGATCAACCAGCCCAAGGAACGCAACTGGTGCGTCGCGCCGTCCCCGTCGGTTCCGCGCGCGTAGGACGCGGGGCAGCCCATGGGAGAGGTGGGGGGCGCTGTGGGGCCGCCGCCGCGCGGGGCCGCGCGACACGCGCACCCGCCGTCCGACCCGTCCGCCGCGCAGGCTCCAGCGCACGTTCAACTTCGGCGGGCCGGGCTGGTTCCACGACGTCGTCGAGATGGAGATGCACCTCGACACGGACAACGTCATCCGCCACCCCGAGGACCCGTACCTCATGCCCTACAGCGAGTACGGCGAGTGCGCGACCTACAAGATCGACGACAAGATCACGGGCGTCGTGTCCATCACGTCGCCGCCCGACGCCCAGGTCTGGATCACGGAGGTGCTCGTCAACGTTGAGCAATTCGCGCAGTTCCAGCGGTCCGTCGACGGGTACCAGCTCGCGTACCGCGAGTGCGTCATCCCCGGCACGGAGAACGGGCTGCTCGTCGCCGGCACGGTGGAGCTGCCCTTCGAGCTGGACCTCAAGGACGTCTACCCGCACGGGTGCCTGCGCCCGACGTACACGGGGTCGCTCTACTACATCCGCCAGCACGTCGCGGCGACGGCGAAGCGGCCCTGGTTCGGCTACGACTGCGAGGTGCGCCTCCCCGTGCACCTCCAGCAGATATGCGCGGCGCCCAAGGAGAGCCGCGGCAAGCCCAACGTCCACGCGCTGGGCATGCCGCCGCACGTGCTCCCGCTCACGGACCTCAACGGCGAGTGCGTCCTCGACTACAAGACGAACTGCTTCAACGTCGAGGGCCGGCTCAGCGGCCTCGTGAGCTTCCGCAAGCTCGCGACGCCCGTCAAGTTCGTCAAGATCGAGCTCATCAAGGTCGAGTGGTCCCAGCAGGAGTCCATGGACACGGCGATCTGGACGAACGTGCTCTTCCCGCCCAAGGCCAAGCTCTCCGAGAGCGGCTGGCTCAAGAACAAGGTCGTGCGCCTCGAGCCCGACGAGGACGGCGAGCAGGGGCCCGAGGTCATCGAGCTCGTCGAGGCCGACGCGGGCGCGGGCGGGCCCACGTTCTCCGAGGACGTCAACTTCCCCGTGGACCTCGACTTCCCGGGCCTCAAGGAGGCGCGCAACACGGGCCGCGTCCTCACGCCGTCCTACAAGCGCCTCGACATGGGCAACATCGACGTCGACGACGAGACGGACGTCGAGTCCGACGACGAGGACGAGGTCGAGGCCGGTGTCGAGATGACGGACAAGGCGGCCATCACGCCCGACGACGCGCCCGCGCCCAAGGGCAAGGTCCTCGTCAAGCGCGGGCCCAAGGACATCGTCGACGAGGAGAAGATCGAGTTCGAGGAGGGCGTCGCGGAGACGGGCTACTTCCTCCGCCTCACGGCCATCACCGAGACGGGCCAGAAGAGCTGGCGCGCTGCCGGCGTCGCTTTTTGCGGGGTGTGGCGGGTGGACGGGGCGGGGGCTTCTTCGGCGCGCGCGGTTGGCCCCGAGACCGGGCAGGGTTCGCGCGCGCGCGCTCAATTCGCTCGAAACGAATCTCACTCGTCTCATGTAGGAATACAAACAAGATCTGGATGTACCAGAAGTCCTTTGTCTGCAACCAGCGGACCATCGACATCGACATCTAGAAGGCGCGGCCGCTGCCGCCGCCGCTGCCCGCGCGGGAGGCGCGCGCTCTCCGCCCTCTTAAACACAGGCGATCCTCCGGGATTTCTCTTTTATCCGGGGTCTTGGTTTATACGCATGGGCGGCGCCTCTGACAGGAACGGACACCGCCGTTGAGGTCCTGGTTTGAAGGGCAACATTAATATTTATTTTTGTTGAAGTTGAAGTTCAACATTGAACTCAATCGTCGACCTTCGTGGCTATAACATGTGGCATCTAACATGGCCGAGTTGCTTGCAGCTAGTGCTTCCGGTTTGACCGAGGCCAGCGACGCCGAGACCGCCGCGACGACGCAGGACGAAGCCACCGACGACGCCGAGACCGCAACAACAACGCACGACGAAGCCAGCGACGACGGCAGCGACGGCGCCGACGAGCCGCTCGAGCTCGTCATCGTCGGCGCCGGGCCCCACGCCCTGGCGCTGCTGCTGCGGCTCCTCGACGACGCGCCCGACGAGTCCGGCGACTTCTTCGTCGGCCTGGGCAGCGCGCCGCGGAGCTCGCGCAAGTCCTGGAGCGACCTCGAGAAGCGACGCTGCGGCGACGACGTCGCGAGGCGCATCCTGGACCGCGTCCGCGTCGTCGACGGCTCCGGCGCGTGGCTCGGGACCTGGGACGCGCAGTTCGCGGCCCTCGAGATCCCGCACCTACGGTCCACCTACGACCAGCACCCCTGCCCCTACGACTCCTTCGCGCTCCAGCAGTTCGTCGTGAAGAACGGCCGGGAGCGCGACGTCGTCGATTTGGACGCGTCCGTGCGGACGACGCAGGAGAGCGGCGGCGACGACGGCTGCGACTGCGACGCGCCCAAGGGCAAGGGGTGCGGCTTCAAGGGCAACTTCCGCCTGCCTTCTACAAAACTCTTCCGCGACTTCGTGGACCACCTCATCGACCAGTACCCGCGCGTGCGCGGCTGCGTGACCGAGGGCGTCGTCGACCGCGTCGACCGGCTCGACGGGCATCTGGCGCGCGTCCGCCTGGCGACGGGCGAGACGCTCGTGGCGCGGCGGGTCGTGCTGGCCGTCGGCCCGGCGGCGGCGGCGCGCCTGCCGGACTGGGCCGCGCCGGGCCTCGGCGCGCACGCGTGGGACGTCGTCGCCGCGGCGGCCCGGGGCGAACCCGTCGTCGAGGCCGGGGACCGCGTCGCCGTCGTCGGCGGCGGCCTCACGTCGGCCCACCTCTGCTTCGTCGCCGAGCGCCGCGGCGCGAAACCGACGCTCCTCGCGCGGCGGCGGACGCTGCGCGTGTCGCAGTACGACCTGGATTTGGCGTGGCTCGGCTGGCGCACGCGGCCGGGGAAGATCGCGCGGTTCCTGTCGAAGCGGGCCGCGCCCGAGGACCGCCTCGCCATGCTCCGGGCCGCGCGGCGCGGCGGGTCCGTGTCGCCCGAGGCGCGGCGCGGCCTCGACCGGGGCGGCACGGCCGTCGTCGCCGACGTCGACGTCGTCTACGGCGAGGTCGACGGCGGCGCGCGCTACCTCGACACGGCCGAGGGCGACCGCCTCGGGCCCTTCGACAAGGTCTGGTACGCGACGGGCGGCGCGCCGGGCGTCGCCGCGTCGCCGCTGTTCGCGCGGCTCCTCGCGGACCGGCCCGTGGCCGTCGTCGGCGGCTACCCCGTGCTCCACGCGTCGCTGCGCTGGGACGCGGACACGCCCGTCTACGTCGTCGGCGCCGCCGCGGCGCTCGCGCTCGGGCCCGACGCGCTGAATCTTGCCGGCACGCGCATGTCGTCGTGCCGCGCCGCGTCCGTCTTCCGCGACTCGCTCCGCGCGCGGTGCCTCGGATCTCTCTCCGCGGCGGACGCCGCCGCGGCGGAGCTCGTCCGCGCGCGGCGCCTCGAGGAGCTCGTCGTCGACTTCGTGCCCAAGAAGGGCACCGTCGTCGTCCGCGGCCGGCCGGGCGACGCGGCCAAGGGCAGCGTGCGGCGGAAGGTCCAGGGGGAAGCGGCGCCCGCGGCTTCGAGGGGGCGGAAGAAGGGGGCGTGACTAACATGGCCATCGCTGGTACGGAACTTCAACATGCAGTACAACGAGCTCCAATAAAGGAGCTCAATAACTACTACAGTGCCAACAAATCCAGCCGTGTGCTGTGTGTCGGCGTTTTGTAAGCAACGACCTCCAGTGGGCAGCCTACGCGACGGTCGCGTAGCCGGGGGAGGGTCCCCGCGCCCCGGTCCCGCCTGCGGCCGGCGGCGAGCGGTGCTCGCGCCGTCGCCGTCGTCGAGCGGCGTCGGGGCGCCCCGGCGTCTCGGTCGCTTCGCCGGGCCGCGCGCGCGCGCGCGTTGGGCGTCGCCAGTCGGGCCCCGGAGCCGTCGGCGACCATGGACGACGTCGCGATCCTCTACATCAACCTCGACCGGAGCGTCGACCGCAAGGCGCGCCGCCGCGTCGACGCGCGAGCCTCGCGCGCGCGCCGACCCCCCCCCCGCCGCCTCGCAGGTGCGCATGGAGAAGCAGTTCGAGGAGGCGGGCATTAGCAATTTCAAGCGCGTGCCGGCCTTCGACGGGAAGAAGCTCTTCGGGGACCCGAAGCTGCTCGCGTCCACGGTCGAGCTGCCGTCGGAGATGAAGCAGTCGAGCGGCGAGATCGGCTGCTCGCTGAGCCACCTGCGCGCGGCGGAGATGGCGCTGGAGCTCGACGACGACTACGTCATGGTCATGGAGGACGACATCCACCTGACCTTCTACGGCGCCTGGCGCACGACGGTGAAGGAGATCGTGAGCCAGGCGCCACCGGACTGGCAGGTGCTGCAGCTGACGATCAACAACGTCCGCGTGCTGCGGACGCTGCTGGGCCTGGGGTCGTCCTTCGTGCCCTGGCGCAAGAACCACTGGTCCACGGGCGCCTACCTCATCAACCGCAGGGGCTGCCAGCGCGCCGTCGACGAGTTCACGCGGGGCCCGAACTCGTCGCCGCGGTACCGGCTCCCCGCGAACGTGCAGCTCGTGAGCGACGTGCTCATGTACAACGGCCCCGGCGCCTACACGCACACGCGGCCCCTCTTCGACCACGAGATCAAGGAGTCGACGATCCACCAGGGCCACGTGGAGTCGTGCCACCGCCAGGCGTCCGAGCTCGGCGCGTGCTTCTACGGGCGCCTCGACCTGGCCTGGGCCGGCGGCGACGACTGCCGCGCGGCCGTGGCCTGCGTGCTCCGGGAGGCGGCGCGGCCGGACCAGCGCGCGCGCCTCGAGTGGTGGCTCCGGTTCCACCTGCGCGTCGGCTTCCGGTGGGTCGTGCTCTACGTCGACGCGCCGGACGGCGACGCCGTCGTCGGCGAGCTCCGGGCGACGTTCCGGTGGCTCGGCAAGGCCGTCGTCGTGCTGCCGCGGCCGCCGGGCGACGACACGCGGACCGCGGACGACGCGGTCGCGGTCGACGCGGCCGCGCGCGCGCGGCTCGCGGGCGCGTCCTGGCTCCTGCGCATCGCCGAGGACGAGCTGCTCTACGTGCTCCCGGGCCGGTCCCTGCGCTCCGTCTTCGACGAGGCGCGCCGCGGCCGCGGCGGCGCGGCGAACACGAACGCGGGGCCCGAGCAGACGTTCAACGTGCGCTTCGACAACATGGAGGTGCAGAAGCGCGCGTCCCTGGGGTCGGCGACGGCCCACGACAGCGCCTACAACTTCTTCGTCCGGGAGACGCTCTTCAAGCGGCGCACGGACCACGTCGACGGCGCGCCCGTGAGCCCCGCGGACGACCGCGCGTACTACGACCTGGTGCCCGCGGCCGCGCAGCTCCGGCGCCTGCCGGCGAAGCACGGCGCGGCGTCGGCGCCCGTGTTCCTGGGCCACGGCCGGGGCCGGTCCGCGGGGCGGCTCAGCGAGCCCGGGCTCGCGCCCGCGGGCAACCACGCGTGGCGCGCCGCGCGCGGCGAGCCCGCGGCCTGCGGCGGCGACCTCGTGTCGTCGCGCGCCTTCGTCCTGAGCTTCCCCTACTGCCACTTCGACGCCTGGAAGCGCGCCCACGGCGCCCGGGCCGCGGAGCCCAAGACGCCGACGTCGTCGTCGTCCGGCGGCAAGGCGTCGCCGACGTCGACCGCGGATCTCCAGCTGGAGGACAGGCTCAACGGCGCGGAGCCGAGCGCCTTCGAGGCGGCGTCCGTCCGCGTGCTCCACGAGGAGGCGACGTCGGAGAAGCGCGCGGCCGCGCTCTACGGCGAGCACGTGCTCCTGCCGCCGGGCGCGCTGAGCGACGCGGCGTCGCCGCTCAAGGGCGACCCGAGCCGCCTGCCCGAGAGCTACGACGCGGCGGACCTGGGCCAGCACCCGCCCGTCGTCTTCGTGTCGCTGCCGCCGGGCTGCGTCCGCGCGGACTGCGGCGGCGCGTACGTGCGGCTCCAGCGGCGCGGCGGCGACGACGGCTCCGCGCTCTACCAGCAGCAGGGCGGCGCGCACCACCTCTACCGCATCTCCAAGCCCTTCGTGGCCTGGATGGTCGGGCGGACGCCCTACTCGTCGACGGCGGCGCTCGTCGCCCACGACCTCGCGCTCCGGCCCCAGGACGTCCGCGCGCCGTGGTCCGCGTTCGACGGCCGGCGCTGGGCGACGGTGCCGAGCGCGCACGTGCGCCTGGAGCAGCACGTCGTGTCGGCGACGGGCCACCGCTTCGCCGTAGTGTGTGCCGCGTCCGTGCTCGAGACGCACGTGGACACGCTGCGGGCGCTCATGCTCGCGCCGCCGCGGTATCGGCCGGACCAGTTCGACGTCCGGCCCGGCGCGCCGGACTACGCGACGGCGTCCCACGCCGCGGCGCTGGAGGCGGGCCAGGCCGAGTGCTGGGTCGCCAAGGCCGGCGGCGGGTCGCCGTTGGGCAATTTTCTGACCGCGGAGCAGGCCGAGGGGGCGGTCGTCGCGGCCGCGAAGCGCCAGCAGCGCGAGAACTACCTGCTCGAGGTCCGCGACTCGGGCGCGGTCATCGTGGACCTGCCGGCGTCCTGCGGCGCCGCCGCCGACGCCTGCGCGGGCGTCTACGTGCCCCACGACAAGGTCGCGAAGAAGGACGGCTCGGGCGGCAAGTCCGCGCCGGGGGGGGCGAAGAAGGGCCTGTCGCTCCGCGTCTACCGCCACGAGGAGGGCGCGCACTACCTCTACTTCTACGCGCCCTTCTCGGCCTGGATGATCGGCAGCCGCCCGGGTTCCGGGTCCGCGGCGCTGATCGCCTACGACGGCGCGGAGCGGCCCGAGCTCATCGCGCCCGACGCGCCGTGGCGCGTCTACGACGGCCGCGCGTGGCGCGAGGTGTCCGAGGTGCGCATCCGCGCCCTCGCGGACCAGCAGTCCGGCGCCGCGAACGACGGCTCGACGCAGTGCGCCCTCGAGGAGCTGCCCGTCTACGCGTGGACGCCCAAGGGCGACACGAGCTCCGCGTCGTCGGGCGCCGAGGCGCCGCCCGCGGGCGACGTCGACGGCCTGCCCGTGCGGAACAAGAAGTACCTCGTCTACTCGTGCTGCGGCGACCGCGCCGTGCTGCCCAACTGGCTGAAGAACGGGAACCGCGGCTACGACCTCTGGGTGACGTACTACGGCACGTCCGAGGAGGACAAGTGGCGCGACCGCGCGGACGTCTACCGCCGCCGGCGCGGCGGCAAGTTCGAGAACCTGCAGGCGCTCTACCGCGAGCCGGGCGTCGCGGAGGTGCTGCGGTCCTACGACGGCGTCTTGGTGCTGGACGACGACGTCGTCATCGACGCGCCGCGCATCAACCGCCTCTTCGAGGTGCGCGAGCGGACGAAGCTCCACGCTTTACAGCCGGCCTTCGAGCAGCGGGGCAAGGTGTCGCACGCGATGACGGCCGTGCAGCCGGCGAACCGCGTCCGCCTGACGAACTTCATCGAGATGACGTGCCCGCTCTTCTCCTCGGAGGCGCTGGGCCACTTCCTGGACCACTTCGACCCGGACCTCAAGGGCTGGGGCGCCGACTGGTGGTTCCTGACCATCGTCGCGCGGACCATGCGCGGCGAGGGCGAGGTCCGCGCGCCCGACGAGGAGCCGCACCCGCGGCTCGCGCTCCGCGGCGGCTGCGGCGTCTGCGACGCCGTGTCCTGCATCAACCCGACGGACGCGGACAAGAGCGGCGTGCGCGAGATCAACGTGCTCCAGGGCCGCGAGGGCCGCCGCGACTGCTGGAACCGCATCCGCGCGCGCGAGAAGATTTTGGAGTGGGACCACCTCGAGTTCGGCGCGGTCTGGCTCACGGCCGACGCGCGGCCGGACCCGAAGGCCAGGACGCGAAGCAGCCCGTGCGCATCCGCGGCACGCGGTCCTACGAGCTCGCGCCGCCGGACCCGCCCGCGCCGCCGACGGGCGCCGTCGCGGACGGGTCCAAGGCCGCGCCGCCGCCGGCGGTCGACGGGCCCGAGGTCGACGCGGACGCGCCGTCGAAGGCCGCCCTCTAGCGCCCCTTTTGCCCCGTCCCTCCTCCGCGCCCGACCTCTCGCCCACGAAGCCCCGGGCGGCCCCGCTGCCGCATCTTGGAGTCCGGCAGCTCTCCCGAGCCGCCCGTCCGCCGCCTACGCGGCCGCCGCCGTCGCCCGGCCTCGTACCCGGCGCGCGCGGCCGTCGCGGCCACCTTTAATCCCGGATCTCCGCCGCGTTGGTTTTCGTTTTTTGGGGGTTCGCGGTGGGCTCCTTTTAAATGTGGACATCGCGGCGTTTTGGGGCGCGCGGCGTCGGGAGCGCTCGGGATGGAGGGAGCGGGAACTTAAGGATGAAAGACTAGTCTTCGATAGAATCAATGACCACTTTGAAACTGGCCCTCAATTCCTCAAGGCATTTGTCAGAATGTAACCGCGCATCGTGTGTCATCTCGGCATTTTTGGTATGGCCCACATTTACACAGTTGCACAAGTTCGTGTGTGGCCCTGTGACATGGCCGTGGTAACGCTTTCAAACATCGTCATGCGGACTGCGTTCGCGGCGCTCAATTGCTTGACGGGTGCTTCAATCCGCGCGCTCGGCGCCGGCGCTGACTTGTCGGCTATTGAATCAATGGCACATTTGAGATTGGCGAGCAAATTGTCCGAGCTGTGGTCAGAGCTTTGCGCCATCATTTTGATGAACCCTTTGTGACTATCCGTTACTTTCGTGAGCAGGGCGTTTTGCACGTCAAAAGTACATTTTTGAGCCAGTTCGTACATCCTCATGCGCATCTGGTTTCTCGATAGTTGGTCGACGGGCTCCGTGATCTGCGGCCGCTCCGGCTGCTCCGTCACCCGCGGCAACGAGGGCGCGTCATTCGCGGACTCGTCGTCCGACTCGATCCGCGCGCTCGGCGCCGGCGCTGACGTGTCGGCGATTGAATCAATTGCTAATTTGAGATTGGCGGTCAAATTGTCCGAGCAGTGGTTGGAGCTTTGCGCAACCGTCTTGAAACTATCATTCCATTCCTTGAGCAGGCCTTGCTGCAATTCAAAAGTATATGTTTGAGTCAGTTCGAACATAGCAAAGACAGTTTGGTTCCTTGAAAGCACTTGGTCGACGGGCTCCGTGATCTGCGGCCGCTCCGGCTGCTCCGTCACCAGCGGCAACGAGGGCGCGTCATTCGCGGACCCGTCGTCCGACTCGATCCGCGCGCTCGGCGCCGGCGCCGCAAACTCAGGCTTGGAAATGTGGCTCGGCGACGCGTTGCCGGCCAGGAGCGCGTCAGCTGAGTTGGGCGCGCGCCGTTTATGGAACGCCGCGAGCTCTCCGAAGAGGCGCTCGCGCGCCTGACGGCGTTCCTCCATGCCGTGCGCCCACTCGACCACGGATGTCTCGATCCGCGTCGAGCCGCCGTCCAGCTTCACCTTGAGCGCCTCGAGCATCGTCGTCGCGTCGCTCGGCTTGCACTTGAGTTCAGCCACCAAGTGTCGTGTTTCGTCCATGAAAGCGTTCACTTCGCCGCCGGGGTCCATTGGCAAGGCACAGAGACGCTTGTACACCTTGGTCGCGAGCACAGACGCTTGTACACCTCGGCGCGCTTGCGGCAGCAGATACTTATCCTTCAATTTTACCAAAGTGCACCGCGAGCCGCCGAGCGGACTTCCGAGCGGCATGCCCAGTGCGACGCGAGAAGAAGCACGATGTAGAAAGCCAAAATTTACGGCATCGTCACGGTCGTAGACAGGAGCACGTCGGAGAAGCTCTTCCCGTGGGGGTCGAGGCGTCGGCTCACGGACACGCCGCCGTCGAGGACGGGCTCCACGGTGATGTTCGCCGCGGCCAGATTCGCCATGCGGAAGACGCGCACGGTGAGCGCGTCGGAGGCGGCCGCGTCGCGGAACTCCTCGAAGACGCCGGCGAGGGCCGGCTCCAGCGCCGCGAGGATCGCGTCGAAGTGGGGCGCCCAGGGCGCGTAGGCCACGAGGCTCACGTTCACGAGCTGGCCCTTGTCGCCGGCGCGCGCGTGGCAACAATCGTAGAGCTGGAGGACTTGGCCGGGCCGCAGCGGCGGCGGCGGCGCGGGCGCCTCGGGCACGACCGCGCGCAAGGGCGCCTCGCCCTCGGGCGTCGCGTCCGGCTCCGGCTCCGTCGCGGCGAGCGCGGCGGCGGCCGTCGCCGCGAATCCCACGAGGCGCGCGTCGGGGCCTTTGAGCATCGCGGCGGCGGCGCCCGCGGCGCGCGCGAGCCGCGGGCCGAGCGTCCACAGGTGCGTCGTCACGGCGTCGCGCGCCACGAGCTCCTTGCCGATGTCGACGACGGGGCTGCCGAAGGGCGAGCCTCCCAGGAAGCCGCCGCAGCTGCCCGCGGGCCCGCCGACGCCGAGCCCGGCCAGGGCCTGCGCCAGGGCGAGCGCCCCCGCTTCGTCGGGGAAGCGCCCCTCGAATCGCAGCCGGCACTCGCCGTCGTCCTCGACGTCGTCGTCGCGCCGTTTCCGGAGCGCGTCGTAGCCCGGCCGCGACGCGCGCACGAGCGACGAGCTTCCCGGGCACTCCTGGTCCATCCAGATGCGCACGGCCTCCTCGGCCCAGTCCGCGCGCTGCCGGCAGCCGGAGCCGAGGAACGAGATCTCGCCGACCTGCCTCCGGCCGCCGTCCTTCGCGACGAGGCGGAGCAGCTTCTCTGGCCGCGGGCCGGCCGCGGCGACGCCGCTCACGGCGACGGCCGACTCGCCGCGCTCCTCTAGCTGCGCGCCGGAGAAATCGGCAACGACGTCGGGCGTGACGTACGCCGCGGGGTCCGACACCTCGTAGAGCAGCTGCTGCGCGAGCGTGCGGCGGCTGAGCTCGCCGGGCCGCCCGCGCGCCTTCCGGATCTCGAAGCCGCCGCCCGCGAGGCCGGTCGCCGTCGCCACCGCATAGGGCAGGCCCAGCGCCGCGAGCTCCGCGCCGCCGCCGCGCTCCGGCTGGCGGCCCCGCGGGTGGAAAAAGTAGCCGCCCGTCGCGTGCAGGCCGCACTCGAGCAGGTGGCCCATGCACGTCGCCGCGGCGGTGGCCACCGTCGCGGGCGCGTCGAGGTCCCAGTCGAGCGCGTGCGCGACGCAGCCGACGAAGAGCGACGGGTCCGCGACGCGGCCGGCGACGACGACGTCCGCGCCCGCTCGCAGCGCGCGGGCGACGGCGTCCGCGCCGAGGTACGCGTAGACCGCACCGTTAGGTCGCGCCTGCGCCGCTGGCGCCTCACCGACGCCGACGACCGTGAGATCGAGGTTGAGCTGGCCCGCGACGGCCGCGGCGACGCGCGCGCCGCCCGCCGGATCCGCCGCGCCCAGGTTGCAAATTAATTTCGTGCCGCGCGCCGCGCAGGCCGGCAGCAGCGTGCCGAGCCACTGCGGCAGCCGCGGATCGTAGCCCGAACCGCCGCCGGCCATGCGCGCGTGCGCCAAGGCGAGCGTGCGCTCCGCGAGGCATTCGAGCACGATGTAGTCGAGCCGCACCTCGCAGAGCAGCTCCAGCGCCGGCCGCACGCGGTCGCCCTGGTAGCCCGCGCCGGCGCCGATGCGCACCGTTTTTGTCATTGCGCTGCAGCGACTTTGAGAAGACTCTGTTTGCTAGTGATGGCGCAGCGCTGCTGCCAGCAGGCGATGTCCAGTCGCCATGTCCTTCGAGAGCTGCAAGGTGAGAGATGATGAAGTTCACACCACTTGATTGAGGTGTGTTATGGGGCGCTCCGGGCTGCCTCTCCACGCGCTGGTAGCCGCGGCTCTCACCCTGGTGGCCGCCGACGACTGTCCAACAACCTGCTTCGACGATACGTGCGACGCGTGGATCGGCAAGGGCACGACCTGCACGGATCTGGAGCAAGACTGGGGCTGCACATGCACCGGTTGCGACTGCGACGGCAGCGGCGGCACCGACGAGGACTCGTGGTCTGTCGAGAGCCTCGAGAGCGGGGGTGCGACGCGCTATTACTGGGTCTACGCGCCCGACGCGGCGGAGCCCTCGGGCATGATGCTCTTCTTCCACGGCGCGGGCGGCGGCGCCGACGTGAGGCACGAGTACCGCGTGGCCGAGATGGCCGACGCGTACGGCTTCGTCGGCGTCGTGCCCATCGGCAGCCCGGGCGACGACGACGAGGACGACAAGGGAGGCGACGACAAGTCGTGGGGCGACGACAAGTCGTGGGACGACGACAAGTCGTGGGACGACGAGAAGAGGCGGCGCATGGACGAGGCGGAAACGGAGTGCTGCTTTTACTGGAACGTCGACGTCGCGGACGGCGTGAACGACGTCGACTTCATCCACGCGGTCGTCGCGGAGGTCGCGGCGGACTACGCCGTCGACGCGGACAAGCCCGTGATCGCGCTCGGCTTCTCGAACGGGGCCGGCGTGTCGGAGCTCCTCGGCTGCCACGACAGCTACGACCTCTGGGTCGCGCACCTAGGCGTCCACTACCATCCCGAGGCGGACTGGCCCTCGACGTGCCAGTCGAAGTATTCGAAGTGCCCCGAGTGGAACGCCGTCGGCTCGGAGGACTGGTTCCTCGACGAGATCGACGGCGCTGACGGCGTCCTCGCGCAGTTCGAGGCGAGCCGCGACGCCGCGGGCTGCCCCGAGGAGGCGGCGAGCCAGGACGGCGAGTGCTACGTGTACGCCAGCTGCCCGTCGCTCGGGCAGCTGTGCGTGTACGACGGCGTCGGCCACGCGATCACCGACACGACGACGGAGTCCGCGTGGACGTATTTGACGGGCGACGGGGCCTGCGCGCCCACCTCGGAGGAGTGCGCGGACAGCGTGAGCTGGTACTACAAGAAGGAGTCGAAGACGTGCGCGACCTTCGTGTCCAAGAAGGCGAAGAACTGCAAGAAGCGGGACGACGCCGGCGGGATCAAGGCGAAGGTGGCGTGCCCGGCGACCTGCGGCGAGTGCCCGTGCGCGGACAGCACCTCGTGGTACAAGAAGAAGACGAAGAAGGACTGCGACTACGTCTCGAAGAAGTCGAAGCGCTGCAAGCTCAAGGACGACTACAAGGTCAAAGCGAAGGATAGCTGTCCCTCGTCGTGCGGGACGTGCTAAGTTTTAGAGTGTCGCGAGTGAGTGGACAAGCAGCGCCACCCTTCCAATCATAGAAGGCGGGTACCGGGACCCCGTCCCACGCTATCTTCGCGTTTAGTTCGAAGGCGGAGGAGGCGGGCGCGGGGGCATGAGTTGGGACATGACTCCAAAGCTGGCTTGTAAATTCTCTCTCGCTCGGTCACCAACGGCATTCAAATGGGCCAGCACGTTATTGAGAGCTTCAAATATATGCGGAACCACAGCTTGCCGCTCAGATTGCAGTGCCGCCAGATTTTGAGAGAACAAACTCGTAAGATCCTCGGCGCGCGCTGCTCGCTCCTGAATCGAATCGATTCTTTTCTTTTCGGCAATTTTCATCATTCTGTGTTCCTTGATGGCTTTGACGGTTGTGGATTGGGCTTTCAAGAGAGCATCGATAACAGAATCGTCGCTCTGAGGCGTCGAACAATTGCTCTCGGCTGTAGCGACGTGGCCCAGGGCTGTGATGCTGGCTTCCAAAGTGCTGGCCAGAGTCGAGTTCTGGTCTCTCGCAGTTGCATTTGAATCCAATACAATACGAGTCACGTCCTGGAGGCCTGCACCTGTGGCATCGGCCGCAGTTTGCTGGTTTGATCGCTGTTGTGACAAGTTCTGGGAGTACATGTTCAAAACGTACTCGGCGTGCGCTGCTCGCTCCTGTATCGAATCTCTTCTTTTCTGCTCCTGAATCGAATCGCTTCTTTTCTTTTCGGCAATTTTCATCATTCTGTGTTCCTTGATGGCTTTGACAGTTGTGGATTGGACTGTCAAGAGAGCATCAATATCAAAGTCGTCGCTCCGAGGCGTCAAAACATTGCCCTCGGCCACAGCGACGTCGGGATCCGCGATTACCATGGAGGCTTCAACATAGTTGTTCTGGGGCGTCGCAGGGTTGGGTATAACCGCGTTCGCCGTGCCCAGGTTCACCGTGCGCAGATGTGCCTCGTCCGCCTCGTCCGCTTCGCGACGCCGCGCGTCCACCAGCCGCTGCGCAGCCCGCCGCACCACGGCAGTGACCAACATGGCCGCGCGCGTCTGGCGGCTGGACCGCTCGACCCGCGCGTCCGTGCGACGCTTGCGCGCACCGCGGCGCGTGCGGCGCGCACGCCGCGGGACCCGCTCATCAACCCTCGTCGCCTCGAACTCCATCTCCACGTCGCCGCGGTTCGTCAAACGCAGCAGCCGCACCCGCTGCCCGGACCGCGCGGCGCTCGCCTCGCCCGTGCGCACGAAGCGTTCCATCAAGTCACTCATTGCCCGGGCAAACGGCTTCTGGGCAGCCCATCGAGTACTGATGGGGGCAATGATGCAGCCCGCTTTCCTCCATGTTGAATGGCCAGAATTCGCGCATGGGAGCCCGCAGCTGAGCATTTGTGCACGAGGGCAGCCCGTGAACCAGGATGCAGGTCATCCTCAACTGGTTCCTGTCCGTCGGCGAGGCCTTCGCGCTGAAGATCGCGTCGAGCATCGATGACGTCGTGTGGTTTTCCGTGTTCCTGGCCCCGAACATCAGCCGGGCCGAGCGCACGAAGAACATGGTCGTCTACAGCGTCGTCTGCGGCACGCAGACCGTCGTCGCGTTCGTCATCGCGACGTCGGGCGAGATGGCCATCGACAAGCTGACGCACGGCGGCGCCGACGGGTTCTCGAGCGAGCGCATCCTCACGCTCATCGCGGCGAGCGCGCTCTTCCTGTTCTCGCTCAAGCTCGGCCGCGAGGAGCTCGCGGAGCGCTACGGCGAGGAGCTCGGCTGCTGCGGCGGCCTGCGCGCGGCCTACGAGGACCTGGCGGGCGCCTGCCGGTCGCGGCTTCGGCCGAAGGGCGCCGCGGCGGAGATGAGGCCCGCGGCCGCGGACGTCGAGCTGCCCGAGGTCACGTCGACGATGCACGACGGCGTCGAGCTGCCCGAGGTCGCGCCGACGATGCGCGACGACGACGACGAGACGTCGTCGACGGCGGAGCTCAAGGCCGACGAGGCCGAGGCGGACCGCACGGGCACGACGAAGACGCTCGCGGTCATCGCGTGCTGCGGGTCCCTCGACGACCTCACGCTCTTCGTGCCGCTCCTCGTCGGCTCGGACGTCGGGTTCTTCGCGCTGCTCATCGGCTCCATGGCCGCCGTGGGCGTCATCGTCGCGTTTTGCGTCCGTTCGCCCGGCGTCCGTAGCCCGGGTCCGTTTCACCACCGCCCGCAGGTGTTCCTCAACTTCTTCAAGCGCGTCTCCGACTGCCTCCAGGCGATCCCCCTCGTCTGCATCACGTCGGCCTTCTGCGCGTTCCTCGTCGCCAAGGCGGCGACGATGCACTAACGTGGCTTAGGCCTGGCCGGGGAGCCGCGCGGCCGTCGCGTACGGCGCGGGCCCCACGAGGACGCCGAGCGAGTCGACGTGGGGCGACAGCGGCACCTCGGGCAGCACGTAGTAGAAGATGGCGAAGAAGTGGCAGATCGTCGCCGCCAGGACGCACAGGTGCCAGAGCGCGTGGAGCACGTAGCGCGTCTCGCACGTGTTCGCCGTGGAGAAGAAGACGATGCCGCCCGTGTAGAAGAGGCCGCCGTAGACGACGAGCCGCACGCCCCGCGGGTCGAGCGCCGCGGCGAGGTCGTCCTTGACGATGGTCACGAGCCAGCCCATGGCCACGTAGAGGACGAGCTCGAAGGTCTTGACGCGCCGCTGGTTCGCCTCGGACCAGAGCGGCGTGTAGACGCAGAGGTAGACGCCGTTGCACGTCGCGGCCCACTCCGCCGCCAGGATCCAGAAGGCCGTCGCCGAGGACCGCAGCGTGATGGTCACGAAGGGCGTGTACGTGCCCGCGATGAGCACGTAGATCGCCGCGTGGTCCAGCGCCGCGAAGACGGAGCCGACGCGGTTGAACTTGTGGAGCGAGTGGTAGAGCGTCGAGATGAGGTAGAGCGCGTTCATGGCGATGCAGAAGACGCCGCAGCCCAGCACCGTCGCCATGTCGTTCGTCGCGTTCGCGCGCCGCATCATCATGAGCCCCCCGAAGAACGCGAAGATGATGCCGAGGCCGTGCGTGAGCCCGTTGAGCAGCTCCTCGCGGGGGCAGTTGCCGCCGATGGGGTGGCGCACGCCGGCGGCCTCCGCCGCCGCGCGCACGGCGACGACGGCCTCGGGCGGGAGCAGGCACCGCGACACGTCGAGCTTTGACAGCGGGCCGAACCGCTTCGCGTCGCCGCAGAGCCGCGTGAGCTCGCGCGCCGCGAGCTTCCCCGTCGAGTAGCCCCCGGCGACGTCGTGGCCCAGGGGGTTGTCGCTGAGCACGAGCTCGGCGACGGCGCTCTTCGGCGCCATGAGCAGGCCGCCGCTCAGCACGTTCTCGAGGTCGACGCCGCGCATGCCGCACCGCCGGAGGAGGAGCCGCTCCGTCGACGCCATCTGGCGCAGCGCGACGCCCAGCAGCTTCCAGTTCGCGCCCGACGGCGACTTGACGCCGCTCAGGTCCAGCGCGACCACGTGGCTCACGCGCGCGAGCGCGCGCGCGAGCGGCAGCATGCCGCCGTCGCCGAAGCTCCGCGTCGGCCGCAGGACGTCGTCGCGCGTGAGCAGGCACGTGAGCACGCCCGCGTCGCTCTCCGTGCGCAGCGCGTCGCAGGACGCGAGGTAGGCCGTCGCGCTGTCGTTCAGCGGCACGTCCGCGCCGGCGCCGGCGCCGTGGAGCCAGTCGCAGTCCTTGTGCTCCTTGCGGGGCTTCGTCGGGTCGAAGGCCCAGTCGCCCGCGCAGGACGCGCAGTTCGCCGTCATCGTTGCGGAGGTGTATCAGGTGTATCTGGTGGGCGTCGCGCTGCGAAGATGAGCCGCTGCGCGCGCACTGGAAGGTCACTTCTCGCGGTGCTCACCAATTGCTCATCTCGTGCGAGAACGCGCCGAGCGTCGAGCGGCAACTTCCCCCGTGGGTCTCGGCTAGGCCCGGGCTAGCAGTAAGCGACTCCAGGCCAGGCAACTTTGAAGGCGGAGGTAAGTGCGGAAAGTAGTGCGGAGGTGCCGTTCACCATGCGTCGGACGCCTTACTCGAGCGCGGCGCCCGACGTCTCCTCGATGGCGACCTTGGCGAAGATCGCGGAGGCGGCGGCGACGGCGGCGAAGCCCGCGTAGACCGCCGGGAGGCCGAGCTGGGCGACGAGGGGGAGGAACGCGGCGCCGACGACGGTGTTGCAGCCCCAGTGGGAGAGCATGCCGATGGAGCCGCCCTTGGCGCGGAGCTTCGAGGGGAAGAGCTCCGGCGTGAGGAGGCCCGGCACGGGCCCGCAGCCGCAGGAGAAGGCGAAGATGTAGGCGATGGTGCCGAGGAACGACGTCGCCGCGAGCGCGGGCGTGCCCGCGAGCGCCGGCGTCGCGGCCGCCGCGGCCATGACGGCCATGGACGCGGCCATGCCCGCGTAGGAGGAGCAGAGCATGGCCTTGCGGCCGAACTTGTCGATGAGGGGCGTCGCGACGCAGACCGTGCCGAGGATGTTCGTGAGCGCGACCGCGACGGACCCGAGCACCGCGGACTGCAACCCGGCCTCGCGGAAGACCTTCGTCGAGAAGTAGACGACGGCGTTGATGCCCGCGAACTGCTGCTGGACGAAGAGGAGGAAGGCCGTCGCCGTCGCGCGGCGGTGCCGCGGCGACACCATCGCGGCCCACGAGCCGCCGCCGTCGGACGACGTCGCCGCCGCGGGGCCGAGCTCCGCGGCCGCGGCGGCGCCCCAGAGCCGCGCGGCGCTGGCCTGCTTGTCCGCGTTGCCGGCCCAGCGCGGCGACTCGGGCGCCTTGAGGGCGAGCGCGAGGTGGAGGAGCGTCGGCACGAGCGCGAACGCGAACATGGGCCGCCACCGCGACCCGGGGCTCGTCGGCGTGACGCCGAGGCCCGTCGCGATGGACAGGAGGATGCCGACGCAGATGGCGACCTGGTTCAGCGCGCCGTAGGCGCCGCGCCGCGCCGTCGGCGCCACCTCGCTGATGTAGAGCGGCGTGATCGAAGAGACGATGCCGATGCCGACGCCGGCCGCGAGCCGCGCGGCGAGGAGCTGGGGCACGGTGCCCGCCGCCGCGCAGCCCGCGGCGGCGGCGGCGAGGAGGAACGAGTTGCGGACCATGGCGCCGCGGCGGCCCCACCTGTCCGCGGCCGCGCCGCCGAGGAGCGACCCGGCCGTCGCGCCGACGAGCGTGCTCGACACGACCGCGCCCGCGACCTTGGCGTCGCCGGCGAAGCCCAGCGTGCGCGACATGGCGTCGAGCGGCGTGTTCACGACGCCGAGGTGGTAGCCGAAGAGCACGGCGCCGGCGCAGGCGCCGGCGACGGCCCAGGGCGCCTCCGGCGCCTTCGCCACCTCGCCGCCGCTCACGGACATGGCCTTCTTGGTGACGGCGCGCGCGCCCACGTGCGGGCGCGTCGGCAGCGGCGCGAGGGCCGCGGCGGCGGCAGCGACGGCGACGAGGCGGAGCATCTTTGCGTGCAGAGAGGCGATAGAGCACGAGTTGGATGGCACGTCTTCTAGCAACCTCAACAAGGCTTTAGCGAGCGTCATCTTGTGGCAAGGCTTGGCCTGAGCATCTCCGCGCCGTCACACACGCCGCTCTCCGCCGCGCCGCCGCTCTCCGACGCGCCGCCGCCGCGCGCCGCACCGGAGGCAAGCTCGACACCGCCCGCTCTCCGACGCGCCGCCGCCGCCGCGCGCGCCGCTGCGCCGCACCAAGGCAGCTTCTCAGAACATGTGCGCCCTCTTCGAATCGTTGGAAGCCTTCGCCGCGGCGTTCCCGAGCTTCGTGCCCCGGGAGATGGACCTCTGGGACAGCATGCGGCACATGTCCGTCGCCGGCGAGGGCGGCGAGCACTGGTGCTTCGTCCAGCTCGCCGACTCGCAGCTGGGCATGTTCAACAGCGACGACGACCCCGACGACTGGGCCCAGGAGGTCGCGATGCTGAACCTCGCCGTGGACAAGATCAACGCGCTGAAGCCGCGGCCGCAGTTCGCCATCGTCTGCGGCGACCTCGTGCACCCGTTCCCGGAAGGCCCGAAGGGCCAGCCCGAAAGGCAGGCGCGCGCCTACGCCGAGTACCAGCGGATCACGGCGCGCATCGACGCGGGCATCGCGCTCGTCTGCGTCTGCGGGAACCACGACGTCGGCAACGTGCCGAGCCGCGCGTCCGTGACGAAGTTCGAGAAGCGGTTCGGCCCGTCCTACGGCGAGTTCCGCTGCGGCCGGACGCGGTGCATCGTGCTGAACTCCCAGCTGCTCAACGCCAAGGAGGACTTCTGGAGCGAGGAGCCGCACGTCGAGGCCGCGCGCGACATGGCGCTCGAGCAGGACGCGTGGCTCGGCACGCGCTTCCCCTGCCGGACGCTCTTCTTCAGCCACGTGCCGCCCTTCGTCGAGGCGCCCGACGAGCCCAAGGGCTACTTCAACCACGAGCCCGAGGTGCGCGCGGCCATCCTCGACCTCGTCACGAAGATCGACCCGAAGACCAAGTGGTTCTGCGGCCACTTCCACCGGAACGCGGGCGGCTGGCGCGGCGACGCGGAGGTCGTCGTCACGTCCGCCGTCGGCTGCGCGCTCGGCTGGAACGACGACGCGACGCGCGAGGAGCGCCTCTCCATCCCGGGCATGGACTGGGCGAAGCGGCGCTGCGACGCGGCGCACTCGGGGCTCCGCGTCGTCTGCTACGCGCCCGACGACGCGGTCTTCCACAAGTTCTTCGCGCTCGAGGACGTGCCCGAGACCATCGACTTCGCGGAGGCGCGCCGGACCTGGGCGGGCCTCGCGCCGACGCCGACGTCCTGGGCCAGCCCGGACCGGCCGCCGACGCCGCCGACGCCGCCGGCCTCCTGGAGCCGCGAGTGCGTGCTGCCGCCGCATCCGCGGACCTAACGTGTCATACCGCGACGGGGAGGAAGGGCCCCAGGGACGTCGTCGCGCCCTGAGGGGGGAGCGGCAGGGTCGCGAAGTAGCGGTACTGCATGACGACGGCGCTCGCGAAATAGGCGACGCCGCCGAGCGTGAAGAAGGTCGCGTACGTCGCCGTCGGCTCCGGCCAGGAGCCGCAGAAGTAGAAGAGGCCGCCGACGCCCGCGAGCGCGTCGATGGTCGTCGCCGGGCGGTCCGCGTCGAGGCCGACGGATCGGTGCGCGCGCACGAGCTTGGCGACCTGTGCGACGACGATGATGAGCGAGCCGAGCGCGAAGATGTCCGAGCCGAGCGTGTAGTTCGCGATCGCGGGTATGAAAAAGCACGAGCCGACGAAATACGTGAAGCTCCCGACCGTGGAGATCGCGAAGTTGACGCCGTCGCCCACGGTCTCGCCCTCGCCGCGGCGGTCGACGGCGTCGACGCAGTTGGGCCTGTCGAAGAGGCAGCCGCCGCGGAAATACCACCACTCCGTCGCGTCGGCGATCGTGAAGGCCAGCGAGCCGAAGGTGAAGAGGTAGCCCGCGACCGTCAGCGTCGCCGCCGTCTCCAGCGCCGGGAAGAAGAGCGGGCTCGCGCAGCCGAAGGACACGCCGCCGAAGAGGTAGAAGCTCGAGTGGTAGCGCCGCCAGCCGTACGACGGGTTCAGGCGCTCCTTGGACTGGACCAGCGGCTCCGTGATGTGTCCGTCGCGCTTCTCGACCTGCATCGGGTTGGAGACGGCCGCCATGCCGCGAAGTCGCAGCACGCCGACTTGTCGTCCGCGTAGCCGACGGCGTTGAGCACGAGCCTGGGCAGCGGCGCGTTGTTCGACGGCCGAAAGCGGCGGGCAGCCTGGGCAGCCCTCGAGCAGCAGGCCGAAAGCGGCGGGCCGCGTGGGCAGCCCTCGAGCACGGCCTCGAGACGGCGCCACACAGCGATCTGGTGTGTCGATGCCAGCACGTTGAAGGTGGACATCAAGTTGAAGCTCCCGGCCGACTCCCGGCCGCGGCCATCGGCGAATCTCCGCACTTAGCATCGTCGACGGTTGCCTCGGAGCATACAGGTTATACAGACATGGGTGCGCGCAGGGCGCGGGCGAGCGTCCCCGACGGCGCGCGAGGCGCGAGCCGGAGAGCGAGGCAGCGGCTGCGGCTGCGTCGAGGCGTGCACCTCGCGCGGAGGACGCGGCGCTGGGAGGCTTGGGAGGCGCGCCTCCTAGCCGGCGGCGAGGTAGATCTCCTTGAGCAGCGTGTAGAGGAGCACGGGGTTCTTCTCGAGCGAGAAGACGTGCGGCTCGGCGGCGCGCGGCCTGTAGATGAATGATTGGCCCCTGCGCTTCTTCTGCGCGCCGATCTTGTCCTGGCTGCGGTAGGGGTCGCGCTCGACGAGCTTGGAGAGGCCGAGCTCGTCAAAGGCGATGTAGTGGCGGAGGCGCAACGTGAGCTTGCCGGGGACGGAGTCGTCGCCGCAGGCCGGCTCGAGCGCGGAGAAGTAAAAGGTTTTCCACGCGCCCTCGACGACGAGGCTCTCCTCCGTGATCTTGCCCTGGAGCGCCGGGCACTTGAGGATGCTGATGAACAGGAGGCCGCAGATCGACTTGCGGACGTGCGCGCGGTTGTTTTCGGCCCGGTTCTTGCCCGTCGCGACGCCGCGGTACTTGGCGCCGTAGGGCGCGTAGTCGGCGATGATGTCGATGAGGTCGCCCTCCTTCTTGGCGCTGCCCTTCTGGATGGCGGCGCGCAGCAGGGCCTCGACCCAAAAGCCGTAGTCGACGAACGCCGCGGCCGAGAAACCTGCGACGCGACGCGTCGACTCGCGCGCGCCCGCGAAGACGGAAAAACACGGACGCGGCGCTCGCGCCGCCGGTGAGCACGGTCTCCAGGTAGTTGCCCGACGAGTGGAGGCCCTGGAGACACGCGTCGAAGTCGAGGTCCAGCGTCGGGCGGCTCGGCGCCGACGTGACGTAGTCGCCGCGCGCGGCGCGGTCGCGCACGAGCACGAGAGACGCCCGCAGGACGGGGAGCAATTTGAGAGCGCCGTCGCTCAGCGGCGCGCCCACCGCGCGGCGCTGGCCTCCCGGCTGTTTGGGCCGGCGGGGCGCCGCGGCGCCGCGGTCCGCGTTGCCGCCGCCGGCGTCGGCGACGACGATGGTGCCGCGGCCCGCGGCGGCGGCCGCGCCGCGCGCGACCTTCGCGCGGAGCGCGGCGAGCTCCGCCTTCATGTCCGCCTCCTCGTCGCTCTCGGCGGCGTCGTCGTCCCAGTCCTCGTCGTCGTCGACGACGCGGCCGCCGGCGTCGGCGCCGCGCTCGGAGCCGGAGCCGTCGTCGCCGCTCTCGAGCGGCGCGGGCTCGAGGTCGCGGAGCACGTAGCGCAGGAACACGCGGCGGTCCCGCGGGCGGCCCGTGGCGTCCGGGTCGTCCTCGAAGTTGAGGCGGATCACGCCGGGCGGCTGGCCGCCGGGCTCGCGCTTCGGCGCCTTGGACACGACGGCGGGGTAGAACGACGTCGTGTTGGTGAAGATCGCGATGACGCGCGCGCCCCGGGCGAGGTCGCGGAGGTCGCTCTCGGGCAGGTCCAGGGGGCGGACGCGGGACTCCGGGAGCTCGATGATCTTCGAGTTCTCCTCGTCCCGCACCGTGTAGACGCCGGACTCCGCGTCGTAGTTCACGACGCGCGCGAGGATCCAGAGCCAGGACCCGTTCTCCTCGTCGGGCACCTTTGCGGCGACCTCCGACGTCGGCGCGATCTTCGACGGCGACGCGTCCTGGTCCTTGTCGTTGGGCGAGACGAAGGACGACGGGGGCGACGGCGCCGCCGCCGCGTCGTGGAACGTGTCGTTCTTGGTCTCCTCGACGCCGATGTCCTCGTCCTCGTCCTCGACGCCGCGCGGCGTGCCGAAGCCCTCCGGCGACGACGCGTAGCCCTGCTGCAGCATGTCCAACGCGCCGCCGCCCGCGCCGGTCTTGCCGCCGGCGTCCGGCGACGGCGGCGGCGTGTCGACGCCCGGCTCCGCCTCCGGCTCGGCGAAGAGCCGCTTGCCGCGCGGCGTCGCCGCGTCGCCGAGCGCGCGCATCCGGTCCACGGGGACCTCGTGCTCGACGGCGCCGTCGTCGTAGCGGACCGTGCAGGCCGCCGCGCTCGGGCAGCGGCGCACGCGGCCGGCGTAGTACTTTTGGCCGCCGGCCCGGCGCGCCTCGACGGCGTCGCCGACGGCGAAGGGGTTCTCCGCCGCCGGCGCCCCGTCGTCGACGGGCGGCGGCGAATCCGCGCGCGCGGCCTTGGCCTCGGCCGCGGCCTCGGCCGCGTCGGCGCCGAGCGCGGCGTCCTCGCGCGCGTCGAGGCCGAGGAGCTCGGGGTCCTTGCCGCCCTGGCCCAGCGCGCCCGGCGCGGCCGCGGCAAGGGGCGGCGGCGACGGGTCGCGGCGCTCGGCCTCCTTGGCCTGCTTGGCGGCATCGCGCTTCGCCTTGTCGTCGGCCTTGCGCTTCTCCTCCTTCTTCGCGAGTGCCTTCTCGACCGCGAGATCCGTGGTGAGCTGCGCGATCTTGGCCGCGGCCTCCGATTTCGCTTTCTTGAGCTGCTCTTCGAGCTCGTCTTTCTCATTGCTCAGCTCGGAGGCGAGTTGATGAACATTCTCGTACTGGTTCTTCAGCTCGTGGCAGGCGCGAGTGAGCTGCGCGATCTTCGCGTCCTTCGCCGCGCACCCGGCGCATGGCTGAGGCTCGTTCGGGGGAGAGAGAGACATTGCGAAGGCGCAGGCTCGAGACCGATCCCGAGGTGCAACAACTTCTTGGCGCGCTTTGTTGAAGTTGGATTTCGTGGCAAAAACAACCTCAAAAATTCAGCTATGGCCTTCCTCCCCGTGCTCTTCGTCGCCTCCGCGCTCTTCGTGGCCGCGCGCGGCGCCCAGGAGGCGCTCCCCACCTGCACCGCCGCCGCCGCCGGCGTCGCGCTCGGCGAATCCCGCCTCCCGCTGGACGCCGTCGTCTCGATCCTCGGCCTGATCGTCATCTGCCTCGTCCTCGCGGCGGCCTGGTGCGCCTGGGACGGCCGCGCGACGCGCGCCGAGCTCGAGGACCTCCGCCGCAAGAGCGCCGACGACAAGAAGCACACCGACGACACGCTGAGCGAGCTTCGCGCGGAACTCGCCAAGCAGCAGGAAATCTTCGAGAACTTCCGCGCCGCGGTCTTCCACTTCCTCGGCAACTCCCCCAATCAGAAGGAGAACCGCGACGTCCCACCGGAGTTGGACTTCGACCAGACGCAGAAGTTCTACAGCGCCTCGTCCAAGGAGATGCAGCTCAAGGCGCACAACCGCATGCAGCGCAACGGCCTGGCCACGATCATGGGCCCCGGCGGCTCGAAGGTGGAAGCGCGCCTCCTCCAGATGGGCAAGCACAACAACGCCGCCAACATCTTCGAAGGCATCGACGGCGTGTGAAGAAGCCGCGCCAGACGCGCGCCGCCGCAGCCCAAGCCCTGCAGCCGCCAAGCAACAGCCGCCGCCGCGAGCGTCCGCTCGCCGCCTGCCGCTCCTCAGTGAAACGCTCCCTCGACGCTCCTCGAAGCGTCGTCGCGCGTGCGTTAAAGTCCAAAGCCATGTTATGCCATACGGAGCATCGCGCGGCCTCACTCGGCCTTCATGGGCCGGCGCCACCGGGATTAAGAGGTAGGAA